ATCTCGCCTCAGTGTTCTCGCCTGATCTCGTCTAATCTCGCCTCAGTGTTCTCGCCTGATCTCGCCGCAGTGTTCTCGCCTGATCTCACCTCAGTGTTCTCGCCTGATCTCGCCTCAGTGTTCTCGCCTGATCTCGCCGCAGTGTTCTCGCCTGATCTCGCCGCAGTGTTCTCGCCTGATCTCGCCTCAGTGTTCTCGCCTGATCTCGCCTCAGTGTTCTCGCCTGATCTCGCCGCAGTGTTCTCGCCTGATCTCACCTCAGTGTTCTCGCCTGATCTCGCCGCAGTGTTCTCGCCTGATCTCGCCGCAGTGTTCTCGCCTGATCTCGCCTCAGTGTTCTCGCCTGATCTCGCCGCAGTGTTCTCGCCTGATCTCACCTCAGTGTTCTCGCCTGATCTCGCCTCAGTGTTCTCGCCTGATCTCGCCTGATCTCGCCTCAGTGTTCTCGCCTGATCTCGTCTAATCTCGCCTCAGTGTTCTCGCCTGATCTCGCCTCAGTGTTCTCCCCTGATCTCGCCTGATCTCGCCTGATCTCGCCTCAGTGTTCTCGCGTGATCTCGCCTGATCTCGCCTCAGTGTTCTCGTCTGATCTCGCCTCAGTGTTCTCCCCTGATCTCGTCTGATCTCGCCTCAGTGTTCTCGCCTGATCTCGCCTGATCTCGCCTCAGTGTTCTCGCCTGATCTCGCCTCAGTGTTCTCGCCTGATCTCGCCTGATCTTGCCTCAGTGTTCTCGCCTGATCTCGCCTGATCTCGCCTCAGTGTTCTCGCCTGATCTCGCCTCAGTGTTCTCGCCTGATCTCGCCTCAGTGTTCTCGCCTGATCTCGCCTCAGTGCTCTCGCCTGATCTCGCCTCAGTGTTCGCTCCGCTAGTGGACCGTCCAACACCGGTGAACACTGTCTTCTCAAAGCCTCGTCCAGGGGTTTCCCTTAAACAGCGGTGAACACTGTCTTCTCAAAGCCCAACGAAGTCATTTATCAGCAGATCTGAACTTAATATGCTTTTACACACCAAAACTGCTGATCATACAAACGTAACAAAATTGTTCTTAAAATTAGTGAACCTGAAAACTTTAGACACACACAGTCAAAACTTACGCATCAAAATGATTAGTATATTATATTATTATTTTATAATATATTATATTATATTGTGTTATATTATAGGCTATTATATTGTATTAACATTATAATATTTCTAACATACCTGTTAGTCCTTCATTCGCCATAACTGTAATAACATCTATAAGTTTGTAAAAATTACCTACAGTTAACATTAATTATCTTTAAACATGAAGCAACAATAAACAACTTATACTTGTTATAATTAACATAGCTTAATACGTTCTGTAAAATATAATAATATAATAAAGTATAATAAATGATTTTGTTCACTGCTAAGTCGAGATGTCTAATGTATCGACTGATGTTAAAAATGTTTACCTTATTTTAAAATATAATCCAAATATTGTAGTTGTGGAAGACAGAGCCGTGTGACACTAGTCCTTCAACACTTAAAAGAGTATTTTATATATATATATATATATGATATGGACATGATAACTTTGGTAATACTTGTGTTCCACTATGGTACAGAGCAACAGCTAGATATGAAATGCTACTTTGTATTAAATATGAAAGTTGTAATACATTATAAACTGGATAAATGTATTTGTTGAAGTGTCTGGTAAAATATATATATGTTTTTTTTCAATAAATATATTTCTTTTTTTCTATGTGAAAATGTCAAATGTTTCAATTTGTCCGTTGTGGTCCAATGTTGCCTCAAACTTTTACAATGTTTATTGATATTTTTATAGTGTCAGAATTTTAAGCAGGAAAAACACCACACATCATTTTATCCTCATGTAGATCATATTGCGTACCATAGAGGGTTAAAACTGAATAGAGTACACCGAGAGTTAGTTAGTAACTTTAGTAGTTATGAAGTGTCTAGTGTGGACTTTACGGTCCCGTTTCAGAAAGAGTTAATGAAGTGACGGATATAATAATGCTCTTACACACAGCCTTCGACATTAACAACAGGAGATATGGAAGTCTCCCTGAAGGGGTTAAAATAAGTCTCTGTTTCTGTGTCGTAATCTTATCACGAGAGCCCACTTCAGGTCACGACCCGCGGTTACAGATCCACGAGTGTGTTCAACAGGATTCTGAAACTACTGGCCGTGTGTTCATCTATAGCTCTCACTGACTCACACACACACATCCACACTGTCCCGGAAAACACTCTCTTACCCAAGTGCCTTCATTGTGTAAGAGGCTTTTACAAGAACAGGTAGATCAGGCATATAAGTGTGTATTCTTCATAGCAATCCCTCAAGGACTCACACACACACACACACACTGGGATTCATGAGCTCTTCAGGGTACTTTCCCAACACACACCAGCTTACCCAATGAAGTTAGTCAGTGTCCGGCGCGGCCAATCATGGGTGACGTGCATGTCCACGTATATGAACACACACACTCTGTGAAAAGGTTGATCGACGCGGATGAATGTCTGAGGAAGGACAGGGAGAGGGAAGAGGGGTCAGAGGTCAAACGGGAGATGCTAAGGTCGTATTGATGACAGGGGAAGGAACTTTGAAAGAGAAAGAGAGGTGATGAACGACCTAGAGTGATAAGAGAGAGAGAGAGAGAGGGAGAGAGAGAGAGAGAGAGAGAGATGGTAACTGAGGAGAGATGTTTTATCAATGAATGACACAATGAGAAAAAGTGGGAATGCACTATGACCTTTGACCTCAGTGAGAAACAAACAGAGGCAAGCGTTCGCCGGACTGTTTAAATGACCTGATGATCCTGCCATGCAACATCATGAAAGATTAACAATAATCATAATGATAATAATGCATTTATTATCCTATAAACATCCAAAAACACATTATTTAACGCTCTTTTAAGTGCTTTCTTTTGAAAATCTGATAAATAATGTCTTTAAGTGTTGCAGCATTGTGCGTCTCAAGATCTGTTCAAAACGGGCTTTTAAAAAAAAATTTTTTTATTTTTTTTTCAGCAAGGATGCATTAAATTGTGAGATTGGTCGTAAAAAAAATTTTTTACAACTGTTTCCAACACTGATAATAATCATAAATGTTCCTTGAGCATCAGATCCTCATATTAGAGTGATTTCTGAAGGATCATGTGACACTGAAGACTGGAGTAATGATGCTGAAAATACAGCTTTGATCACAGGAATAAATTACACTTAACTATATGTTTACAACAGCTGATTTACACTGGAATAATATTTCACTGTTTTACTGTATTTTTAAAAGCTTGGTTTAACGTACGAGACTTCTTTCAAAAACATTAAAATAATCTTGGTAATGTATGTAATTTGCATATTGATTCTGATTGGCTCTTAGATAAAAGATGAAAGAGAGAGAGAGAGAGAGAGAGAGAGAGAGAGAGAGAGAGAGAGAGAGAGAGAGAGAGAGAGAGAGAGAGAGAGAGAGAGAGAGAGAGAGAGAGAGAGAGAGAAAGAGATTTAAATAGGCATTTTCAGATAATAATAGTCATTGTCAGAGAATCAATTCCATGGAATATATATATATATATATATATATATATATATATATATATATATATATATATATTTCTTACACTTCTGTTATGACAGTGTTTTAAAGGAAGGGTTAGGGTCCTGTGAACAGAGGCTGGTGTTCGCTCGCCCTCCAGTGGCGATACTCGGTGTTGCTCTATGACTTATCAAATATTACATTAAATCTTATTCAAATAACTTAAATGAAATGCGAGGAAAAAACAGTATAACAACCCTATTGTGAAGACTGATATCACACTTTAGGTATAATATTATCATCTGTAATATTATAGATATTGACAGATTACAACAGTGGCCTAAATCCGTTTAATATTAAAGTCTTTATTATGTCTTTATTAAATATCGTGAAGCTGATATTTATCGTGAAACTATTTCTATTGTATAAAGCGCTATATAAAGGTGACTGGACTTGAATGTCAGCCTATATTACATTAACATTTAATCACATAAATGTAAATTAATAATATTTATTTATACGAGTAGAAAATAAGAACAATCCTCTGTGTTCCACTTCTTAGAGTGAGAATACTTGAATATACCATAAACTAATAATAATACATAACAACAGAACATGTTATAGTCGTTATTACCTTTTGATTTTCTTCAAAACATGCGTTTTCTTTCATAGTCTAATCTTTAGTTTAACATATAAGCATGTGTTTGTGTGTGTGTGTGTGTGTAAGAGAGAGAGGCTCAGTGTAACTGCAGTCATGTGATCATGAGAGATTATTATCCTGTGAAAGTCATGAGACAGAAGCCTGACTCTGCCAGAGCTAAACACACAGCCAGACACTCAATATTAAATGGTATATTAAATAAGGCCTATTATTTATGGCTTTTTATTAGTGCAGAGAGGACACATGGAACCTTACATTCGCTAAAAAATAAAATAAAATAAAAAGATTTCCATGGCATAAATGAGAAAAGATGAGAAAAGTCAAATTCATAGAGGAGATAAGTGACTTCAAACAGAAACAAAACCATATAAATCCTGTAGGTGGCGCGCGGTGGCTCAACACAGAATCCTTCATTCACCCACATTGATGTGTATAGAGACATTTGTGCTCGAAACGGGTCACCTTGTAGCGTTTAGGTCTAATTTTCCTCCAAAGATTGGTAACTAACTGACATATAAACGGGAAAATGACCTAGAAAACTATACACAATTATTAAACACAATGGCCTGTCCAGAATTCACAGTCGACTGTGATTGGTCCTCCTTGATAAGCGCTGAGAAAAGTAACAAAGAACATTTGACAACGTCGCACTTTTTCTGCTTCAGCAAGGTTATAGACATTATTTCACACCTTAATAACGTTCTGAGAACTTTAATAGTTATTAAACAAAGCGAATAGTCAAATATATAAGAGCAATTATTTAGACCCGTCGAAACTTCCCGATAAGCCCCTCCCACTCGATGCTCGTTCATGTGTTTGTGTTCGTCATTCCTACGCGTCTGGTGTATTTCTGTGAGAGGAGAGCAGCGCGTTCCCGCATCTGAGCATCACAGGTACGCGATTCATTCTCTCACGCTTTCTTTTTTTAAACTGTTCGCTATGTTGACATTACTGCAAGTGTTATTGCATTATATAAGATGACATATAACATTAAAAATAGTAAATATTTGATCAAAGGCCTGTTCAGCCCGCCCCGAACTCATATGAAATGTCTTATTGCATTGCATGCGCAGTATTTTCAGATTTTCTCAGCCTTATTGATTTACGTTTTTTTTTTTCTTTAATCTATTACGGTAATATCAGAAAGCATGTAACCTATAATACAATTGTCCGTTATAATGTTGGCAAAGCACATTTATATCATCAACTGGAAGGCATCTGATGCAAACAGCTGTGTTGTTTTCAGTCATCATGTCTTACGGAATGATTGACAGCTGTCACTCACAGCCGAGAGATTTCAACAATCTCACTCAAACATGCAGCTCAAACATCCAGAAAATCACACAAAACAGTGAGTATTTCACTTACAGAGAAGATTACGTTTGTCATAAATGTTCTAATATAACTCAATTCCCAGACAGCAAGTGTCGGCCCGGATCCGGACATGTCGATTCCACGCGTGCCAGGTGTGGGCCGGATCTGGGCCGACACTATGTTCCAGTCTGGGTTGTAATAGCATATTTCTGCAGTCTTTTCCCATAATTCAGTGCTATAATGTCTCATTATGTGTGCTTTCTGTGCATAGCTGGCCAAATCAAGAGCATGCTGTTCCAACTGGGTACCAGACCGGACACACCGGAGCTCCAGGACAGACTGTGAGTCCAGTGTCCTCCATCCCTGACCAAGCTGCTCTCACTCTATATTGTTATAAAAGATATATTATATACTGTATATTATGTAGGGAAAGCAAAAGGCACTCAGTATACTGAAATAAATACTTTAGCCAAAGTGAAATTGCTAATACTAATAGCATTTAAGTGTTAACTTTAGCAACAAAAAAATACAGTTAATGTGAACTGTTCAAAACCAATCACAACAGGAATGAATGTAGAGTATATCCAGAGTATATCCAGAGATGAGCATAAATACATGATTATTTATTTAAAATAAAAATATGAAATGATTCAAAATAAAATACTAAACACTGTGTGAAATATATTTTTATTTAAATAAACCTGCTGTCACCTGTTATGAATACTCAGATTTAATCAAAATAAAATTGTGTGTATTTGACCTTTTAGCCGATTGTCAGTGTTCGGATACTAAATATGAGTTCTCCTTTGCGGCATATTGCACTTTTAAAGGAACACGCCGACTTTTTGGGACTTTAGCTTATTCACCGTATCCCCCAGAGTTAGATAAGTCCATACATACCTTTTTCTTCTCCGTGCGTGCTGTAACTCTGCGGTGGGTGTGATCTGACGCACCCACCGCTAGCCTAGCTTAGCACAAAGACTGGATGTAAATGGCTCCAGCTAGCATACTAATCCCAATAAGTGACAAAATAACGCAAACATTTTCCTATTTACATGTTGTGATTTGTATAGTCACAGAGTGTACAAATAACAAGATCATATGAGACAGCCATCTTTTAACCGTATAAATATTGGGAACTATATTCTCAGAAGGCGAAGCACTGCTACTTGGGCAGAGTGATTACCGCAGCACCCGAGACGCACCGTGATGAGGAGCAGAGAGTTCGCTCAGAGTTGGAGTAATAGAGTCAGCAATTACTAGATAGTAAAAGCATAGTTTACAATCATGGATGTTCGCTGTATTGTAAAGAGCTGCGACAATAAACAGTGGAGACCAGGTAATACCATGATGTTTCATAGAATTCCAACCAAAAACGCTGACCTGATTAATAAATATCACAGAACACGAATAAAGAATTATTATTACAGGAATCGATATATTTTAAATGCAATTAATTACAGCTGAACCCAATGTATTCCAACCCAATGGAGGATCCCTTTCCCACTCTACAGATAAAGCGTTGTGAATTTCGGCTCGCGTACCCCGAAGTGATAAAATAAAACAAAATTCTGTATCACAATTTATAGGCAAGACAAGTAGTTTGTTTAGGCTGGGTTGTATGGAATTACAAACCTGCGCACATATTTTCAAAAGCACATAACTATAGAATCAATTCTGAATGTGCATGTGAACGCCGTCAGCGTTAATCACAGGTTCGCGCTTAAAGTCTGATCATTTCGACGGTGGTGAATCAATCAAAATTAACTTTAGCTGGAAATAACATTATTTGAGAACCGCTATAAAGCCAAAACAATCTCTGTTACCTTAAATTATATGTTTATCTCTGTAAAGCTGCTTTGAAACAATCCATTGTTAAAAGCGCTATATAAATGAAGATGACTTGACTTGACTTGACTATTCAACAGCATATAATACAGTAATGTTAGATAATTGCATTACAATAGGCTAGAATAAGGGGAAAGTAATAACACAACTTGCACAAGGCAAATGGTTTTTGCACAATGAACCCACAGACAGTAGCCTACCCGTACTGGACAAGGTCACTGTTTCTCAAAAAAATAAAAATAATTCTGATTCATTAGCAAGGTGAAGGCTACAGTCCTGAGTTTACCTCTAGCTCCGCTCATTTGTTACTGGGGCGATAGACAAAACAATACTAACATTAGGGCCTGCTCACATGTCGCATCTTTTGCGCGCTCAAGTTTGTTATTTCAAATGTAGGCGCGTATAACGAGTGGATAGTGCCACGGATAACTTTCCGAAGGTGACAGTCGTGTACTTTTACGTGAGAGAAGGGGTACGGCGCACCACAGACGTGTGACTCCAACGTCGTCGCACCACAGACGGATGACACTAACCTGTGACTCCAACGTCGTCGCACCACAGACGGGTGACACTAACCTGTGACTCCAACGTCGTCGCACCACAGACGGGTGAACTAACCTGTGACTCCAACGTCGTCGCACCACAGACGGGTGACACTAACCTGTGACTCCAACGTCGTCGCACCACAGACGGGTGACACTAACCTGTGACTCCAACGTCGTCGCACCACAGACGGGTGACACTAACCTGTGACTCCAACGTCGTCGCACCACAGACGGGTGAACTAACGTGTGACTCCAACGTCGTCGCACCACAGACGGGTGAACTAACGTGTGACTCCAACGTCGTCGCACCACAGACGGGTGACACTAACCTGTGACTCCAACGTCGTCGCACCACAGACGGGTGACACTAACCTGTGACTCCAACGTCGTCGCACCACAGACGCGTGAACTAACGTGTGACTCCAACGTCGTCGAACCACAGACGGGTGACACTAACGTGTGACTCCAACGTCGTCGCACCACAGACGTGTGAACTAACGTGTGACTCCAACTTCGTCGCACCACAGACGGGTGACACTAACGTGTGACTCCAACGTCGTCGCACCACAGACGCGTGAACTAACGTGTGACTCCAACGTCGTCGAACCACAGACGGGTGACACTAACGTGTGACTCCAACTTCGTCGCACCACAGACGGGTGACACTAACCTGTGACTCCAACGTCGTCGCACCACAGACGCGTGAACTAACGTGTGACTCCAACGTCGTCGCACCACAGACAGGTGACACTAACCTGTGACTCCAATGTCGTCGCACCACAGACGGGTGACACTAACCTGTGACTCCAACGTCGTCGCACCACAGACGCGTGAACTAACGTGTGACTCCAACGTCATCGCACCACAGACGGGTGACACTAACCTGTGACTCCAACGTCGTCGAACCACAGACGCGTGAACTAACCTGTGATTCCACAGACGGGTGACACTAACCTGTGACTCCAACGTCGTCGCACCACAGACGCGTGAACTAACCTGTGACTCCAACGTCGTCGCACCACAGACGCGTGAACTAACGTGTGACTCCAACGTCGTCGCACCACAGACGGGTGACACTAACCTGTGACTCCAACGTCGTCGCACCACAGACGCGTGAACTAACGTGTGACTCCAACGTCGTCGCACCACAGACGGGTGACACTAACCTGTGACTCCAACGTCATCGCACCACAGACGCGTGAACTAACCTGTGACTCCAACGTCGTCGCACCACAGACGCGTGAACTAACCTGTGACTCCAACGTCGTCGCACCACAGACGGGTGACACTAACCTGTGACTCCAACGTCGTCGCACCACAGACGCGTGACCTTACCTGTGACTCCAACGTCGTCGCACCACAGATGCTTGAACTAACCTGTGACTCCAACGTCGTCGCACGACAGACGCGTGAACTAACCTGTGACACCAACGTCGTCGCACCACAGACGGGTGACACTAACCTGTGACTCCAACGTCGTCGCACGACAGACGCGTGAACTAACCTGTGACTCCAACGTCGTCGCACCACAGACGCGTGACCTAACCTGTGACTCCAACGTCGTCGCACCACAGATGCTTGAACTAACCTGTGACTCCAACGTCGTCGCACGACAGACGCGTGAACTAACCTGTGACACCAACGTCGTCGCACCACAGACGGGTGACACTAACCTGTGACTCCCAACGTCGTCGCACGACAGACGCGTGAACTAACCTGTGACACCAACGTCGTCGCACCACAGACGCGTGAACTAACCTGTGACTCCAACGTCGTCGCACCACAGACGGGTGACACTAACCTGTGACTCCAACGTCGTCGCACCACAGACGCGTGACACTAACGTGTGACTCCAATGTCGTTGCACCACAGACGGGTGACACTAACCTGTGACTCTAACGTCGTCGCACCACAGACGGGTGAACTAACCTGTGACTCCAACGTCGTCGCACCACAGACGGGTGACACTAACCTGTGACTCTAACGTCGTCGCACCACAGACGGGTGAACTAACGTGTGACTCCAACGTCGTCGCACGACAGACGCGTGAACTAACCTGTGACACCAACGTCGTCGCACCACAGACGCGTGAACTAACCTGTGACTCCAACGTCGTCGCACCACAGACGGGTGACACTAACCTGTGACTCCAACGTCGTCGCACCACAGACGCGTGAACTAACCTGTGACTCCAACGTCGTCGCACCACAGACGGGTGACACTAACCTGTGACACCAACGTCGTCGCACCACAGACGCGTGAACTAACCTGTGACTCCAACGTCGTCGCACCACAGACGGGTGACACTAACCTGTGACTCCAACGTCGTCGCACCACAGACGGGTGACACTAACCTGTGACACCAACGTCGTCGCACCACAGACGCGTGAACTAACCTGTGACTCCAACGTCGTCGCACCACAGACGGGTGACACTAACCTGTGACTCCAACGTCGTCGCACCACAGACGCGTGACACTAACGTGTGACTCCAATGTCGTTGCACCACAGACGGGTGACACTAACCTGTGACTCTAACGTCGTCGCACCACAGACGGGTGAACTAACGTGTGACTCCAACGTCGTCGCACCACAGACGGGTGACACTAACCTGTGACTCTAACGTCGTCGCACCACAGACGGGTGAACTAACGTGTGACTCCAACGTCGTCGCACCACAGACGCGTGAACTAACGTGTGACTCCAACGTCGTCGCACCACAGACGGGTGACACTAACCTGTGACTCAAACGTCGTCGCACCACAGACGCGTGAACTTACGTGTGACTCCAACGTCGTCGCACCACATTGAACTACTCATTGAGCTACCATGTTGCCACCAGCCATTTTGTTGTATTCAGTGTTTGCATTCATTAAAAAAAACTACATTGCCACCACAATAAATTAAAGCTGCTGTAGGTAACTTTTGAAAACATGTATTTGCTAAAAC